CCAACTTTCAACTTGCAGCTTGGTGAAAGGAACCTGGCAGAAGAATGGGATGGGGGGGATTAGTCATAACCCCCTCCCCATCACACCAGCAACAGTACCAGCTAATCTTACAAGATCAGCTCACCATGTGCCAGGCACGGTGCTAGTTGTTTGCCCGTGTTACCTCATCTCCCCCTCTGACTGCTGCATGGGGGTGTTCCAGCTACTATCGTAGAAAAGATGACCCAGGAAGGCGGGGGACTTGTCTAGGTCCATAGCCTAGCTGTGGTGGACCTGGAGTCTGTGTGAGCTCCTAACCTAACCGTGGCACCTTCTCTGTCCCCTGCAGGTCATTAAGGAGTCCAAGCAGGAGCACAAGGATGTGATGTGAGGCAGGACCCACCTGGTGGTCCCTGCCCCACAGTATGAGGGGCCTGCAGCAGGAGTTGGGGTAGTTGCCTCTCCTCTGCTAGTTAATTTCCCCAGACTTGAGTTCCCACCCACCCCAGCTGCTCCTTTTCCCCCTCAGTCTCTATGTCAGCTTGCTGCCCTAGGCTCCATCAGCATTAAGCCTGTCAGACAGCACCCAGCAACTCTAACAGGGCACTCACTCCAAAGGGGCAGCCTGGAGGGGCATGGCCAGCAGCTTGGGTTAGAATTGGGAGGGAGGAGAGAAGTTGGGGAGGGCAGGGAGACCTAATAAATCACCCTCCGTATCCCGAATCCCTGTTGTCATGGCAACTGTTGCCAGAGCCGGAGGTGTCTGGGGGTATCTGGGAATGGGGCCTTTGAATTTCCTCAGGCTGGTGGAGGAAATCCGAGACTCTGAGACAGGCAGGGGAATCCCCACAGGCAAGGAGGCCTTGGCCAGGGGCTTATTCTTCTAGACTGACTCTGACCAGTCTGAGGATGGGTGGGGCTATCCTGCCACCTGGAGTAGTCGCCGGACAGAATTCCTGGGCTGCCCAGATTGCAGAGGGGCCTCCTGAGTGATGGTTCAAGTGGCTCAGCCCCACTGAGCTGCCACGTGGGCATGCCGTGGGCCCGTGGGAGCTTGATTCTCAGCATTTGGGGGAACTACAGTGTAAGTGGTGAGGGAAGGGGTGCTGGGAGGGAGTAGAAGGGGGCCTGGCCCCGAGCTGTGGGCACAGAGAGGTCAAGCCCAGGAGGACTCCCCCCACCCCATACAGGCTGGAGGGGGGGCAGGTAGAGATGGTAGAGGAGGTGGTTGGGATGAGGCCAGACATCAGAGTGGGGGGCTGTGAGTGGGCAGTTACACTTGGCCTCTGGGTCGTGGGAATCAGGAAAGTGACTCATCCTCTTGAAGATGGTGAAACAGGAAAGAAAGAGGCTGCTGGTCCTGGGGGCAGGGCCCACTTTGTCCCAGCTCTAAAGGCCCTCTCCTGGCTGCATAATCCCTGTCCACCCAGGCCTGGGAGCCGCTGCAGCTGCCGCCTGACCCCAGCAAATACTGCTAGGCAAAGCCTCTGCTGCACGCCCGACCCCCTCCTCCCCACAGTGACCGCTGCTCTTCCCTAAGCCAAGGGCCCTGTTGTCCCCTCGCAGTCAAATACAAAACGTGCCCCGTGTTCTAGGTGGCGCCCTGTTTTATAATTTGGGAACCCGACACCCACGCAGGGTGAAGACACTGGCTTGTGTTCCTGAAGCCTAGAGGCAGGACAGCTTGGGGCAGACGCTTTCACCCCGAGCACCTGTTCTGCGGTCCACGGGAAGGCTGGCGGGCACGAGATGATCCGTGCCCACGAGTGGAGCTCAGAGGCCCACCCCAGGGTCCCCATCTCCCTCTAAGGCAGAGGGAGGGAGAAGTAGGAGTCCCTCCCTCTTTCCAAGACTGGTGCCCTTCCCCTACTCCCTCCTGCCACCCACTGCTGCTAACCTTCGGGGCACCATTGCTGCCTTTAGTCACTGACATAAATAAAGACAACTGTTGTGGCTTTCCCCAGAGTGGACTCTGATCTGTTCGGCAGAGGCTGGGGCTGGGGGAAGGGGGCAGGAAGTAGCCTTGGACAAGACACAACTTGCTTCTTATCACTGATCATCTTGGGACACCCAGCCACCCCCAGCAGTGGCCACATGACAAATCCCATCTCCAGCCCTGCTCTGCCCTGCAGCCCTGCTGCCGGCCCCCCACAGCCTTTGCTTCCCACCCCTCTTCTCACCCCCAGCCCCCAGCCTGGGTCCAATCTGGCAGGAAAGTCCTGAATTCAGTCTACAATTTCCTCACCCATTTCCCCTGTTGTAGTCTCTACCTGTATTCCCAAACTCACCATTTCTACCTGCCAGTCCCAGGATGAGGCTAGGAAAGAAGGCAAAGAGGATACACACTAGGTACCCCGACTCTTTTCTTCCTCCCTCTGCTACCCCCAATTCAAACCGCCCACTTAGCAATCCTCGAAGGCAAGAAAATAAAGCACGTCAAACACTGTTCAACACCAGACAGGTGATAAATGTTAGGTTCACAAGAATTCTTCCTTCTCTGAAGTCAGAAGACACGTGCACCCTGGCTACTTCCATCTCGCTTCGGTCCCCCATCTCCCACCAGCCTCGGGCCTCCCCACTTCCCAGATTGGGTCTCAGACTCGCTCACGACAGCAGGGAGCAGGTTATAGCTAACAACTTTGTCCACATGCCCTGCCACACATCCCAGCTCAGGATGCCTATCCAGAGGCATCTGGTACCATTTAAGAAACGCATTTGAGCACAACTGGTCTTCAGAGCTGGGGAAGAGAGAGCCTAGGGGGAGAAGTTGGGATAACAGCGGAATGAGTAACAGCAACAACGACAGAGGTGAATAGTGATGAAGACTGCCGTGATGAGCAGGTAGCCTATCAGGGTGAGCACCAGGGCAGCCCGAATCTCGGGGTTGGAGAACGAGACTGGGTAGCGGCCTCGAGATGTCACGCCCAGTCGGAGCCCAGCGATGCGCACGCCCTGCCGCCAGCAATAGTAGATGCCCCGGTCTTCCAGCTGGGTGAAGCGGATGTGGAGATGGTTGCCGTGGTCGATGAACACCCTCATGGACCCGTTGACGCCCTTTAGGTACTGCGTGCGGTAGAGGTACTGGTGGTCCTTGTCCCAGGCCACGGCATGCTCCGGCCGGGCCCCGGGACAGGAGATGATCAGTCCATGGCCCAGCCTCTGCTGGTGGAACTGAATGGGCACCGGGGGCAACCAAGGCCGGCTGCCCACTTTGGCCACGTAGCTGAAGAGGGCCATCACACCCTCCTGGATTTTCTTCTTCTTCTCGCAGGGCACCAGGCAGCTCCGAAGCAGCAGCTCGGGGACGTGGTCTCTGGCCTTGGCCCGGAGCTGCCTGGGCACAGCCCGTGAACCACAGGACACCACGTCGGGCAGTGTCTTGCGGTAGCGGGGGGAGAGGTCTGGGCTCTGCAGGTAACACAGGCCAATGCGCCACTGCTCCCCGCGCACCCCGCAGCGGTCGCAGGGGGTCCACTCCCAGAAGGTGGTGAAGACACGGAGGCTCCCGTGGTGCTCATCTGCGAAGGGCTCCTGGCCCTGGTCCTCGAAGGTGGCCACCATCCTCTCACTGCTCTGGATGTCCACGTCGTAGGCGTAAAAGTAGTCCCCCTTGCGGGTGCCGCAGAAATACAAGCCTGAGTCCTCAGGCTGCGCCCGGAAGACCAACAGGCTGAACATGTGGATGCTGAAGCGGACCAGCAAGTCGCTGCCCACGCGCACCTGGGCTGCCTCCGTCAGGACCCGCCCATCAAAGTCCGTCAGCACTTTGGTGTGGCCGCTGCCGAGGTGCTTCTGATAGTACCAGACGACAGCGGACACCTCCTCGGGCTTGCAGTGGCAGGGGAGCTCGAAGCTCATGTCAGCCAGGTAGGCTGCATTGTCAAACATCAGGAACGCTGGGCAGGGGGTCCTCTGAAAAATGTTCTCCTTCTCCACGATTTCAAAGGCCTGGAGGCTCCCCAACACCCACAGGAGCACAGTGGCCTGGGCCAGGTTCATGCCTGCACGAGGGAAGAGTCAGAGGGGGCGGGGCAGAACCTAGGCACTAAAGGCCTATGGGGCTTCTAGAAATCACTGCTGGGAAGAGGCATCTAGATGAGGAAAGGATTCAGCAGCCAGGAAAAGAAGCAACAACCTGCAGAGGAAGCTGCCACAGACAAGGCAATTTATTCCCAGTGGATGTACAAGATGCCCTTCTAACGTTCCGGACGTGATCTTGAGGGAAAACCATTCTAGAACCTGGCCCTTTGTCCCCTTTCTAGAACACTGGCACTCACTCAAGAATGGGTCAGGGGAAGCCAGAATAAGAAGCAAGGGCCCAGGTACCAGCACAGGGGAATCTCTGCCTCTCTGTTCCAGGCTCTGCCCTGCCTGCCCGGTGGAAAGGTCCTCCCTTTGGTTAATCCAGGAGTTGAAGGCAACCCTCCTACCTGCACATCTGGCCACCTGAAGATGCCTGGGAGGCTGGCCAGGCCTGAGCTGATGGCTTGGGGTTTTCCCAGGCCCAACCTGCACGGGAACTCAGCCCCTGGAGCTGGAGAAAAATACTGCACCTCAAATGAGGTAGCATTTGATCATTTATTGATTAAATGTCCATTCTGTTGGTTTCCAGTTACAAATACTCTTGTTAAGAGCTATGGAGATCAGTATTAATTTATCATGGAAGATTAACAATTTTGCTTTTTCCTTTTTTTGAGTGGAGGCTATAACTGGTGGTACCGGTGTTTGGTTGGGTGCTCACCCACCTCTCAGGGCCATGGGCTAGCAGACTGGCAGACTCTAAGGGTGGGAAGCAAAAGTCTTTCAACTTCTCGGGCCCTTGACCATCCTGTGGATCTACACAGTTCAGAATATGGAGCCCCCAAGAGGCTGGAGGAAAAGGGAAAATTCAGTTACTGCTTTTGTTGTGAAAATTCCAAGACCAGAGGGAGTTAGGTGTGGGCTTTTCACTACAGTCTTGCAGAGCCCTCGAGACAACGAAAAATGCCTCCAGTGACCACTGGGGGCCTCTGAAGGTAACTGGTCCCATCAGTCCACACGGTACAGCCTTAGCAGCTCTTGCAGAAGACTCTCCTCCTCCTGAAGCCCACCAGGCTGCTCCCCCAGACCCCGCCCCTCCAGGCTGGGGGTGCCCATGGCCTGCAGCTTCTGAAACAAGGATCTGCAGCTCTCTCTCTCCGCATGGCTCATCAGGCTCAGGTTCAGGGTGAAGCGGCCGGTGCTGGCCAGGCTGCGCAGGATCCCCAGCACCACCCACCGGTCAGCTGGCCTCACGTGATCAGCCAGCGCCATCAGCATCTCCCCTAGAAGTCCAAACCCCACATCCATCTGGAAGAGGCGGCCCAGCTTTGGGCCCCCGAGCTGCAGCAGGGCCTCGTAGCGCTCTGACCCACTCCGCAAGTATCGCCGCCAATCACGGTAGAAGTCAGCCGAGGTCTCGGGCTGGAGGAGCGTTTTCTCCTGGATCGCAAAGGAAGGAAAGAGAGTGCAGAGGTCCTCCAGCTGCTCTGTGACAGTGAGAGTGGGGGGGCCTGTGGATGTTCATCTGAGCTCTAGTATCACTCTCTGAGCACTGGCAAGGCTGCGGTCCCTGTGGGCCTCATTTTCAGATGAGAGAACAAGGGATGGGATGGGGAGGGAGGGTCCCAAGGAACCCAGGCTGTGATTTGAGACTCTCAGTTGTACCAGACTTTTCCTACTGATGAATGTGGACATAGCCCTGCTCTGCAAGACTAAGTCAGAGTTTACTCTGGGCAGGGCAGGAGAGGGGGTAATTGGAAACCTCAGGAGGAGAGAAAGGAACTCAAGATGAGTATTAAGGATATGACAGGCTGGATCTCCTTCCCGACGCTGCCAGAGGATCATAGGCTCTATACCATATAACTCGAGGCAGAGCAACCCAAATCTGATCTGGGAATGGGAACCAAGGACTGACTGACAGGGGCCCGCCGAGCCCACCTTTCTGACTTGTTCTGGTTGGTTTTGGCCTCACCACCCATTGGTTGCTTTTCTCTCTGGGATTGGGGCAGGAACCTGCCTCTGTTGGCTTTACATGAGAAATAAGGGAAACATATGTGTTATAAGAAAACAGGGTTGGAGGTTTAAGGCAGAGAATCCTGCTGGGCCTCACCTACCGGGGAGATTTCAGTGGTTTCACCCTGGGAGGGCCTTCCCTGAACAGTGTGACAGTTCCAGGGCACAGTCCTCTTTCCTCCTATCTTGTCCTTCTGCTCCAGCGGCTTCAGATGTGATGCAAGGACAATACCCCTACAGGCAAGGGACAGAGATTAGGGGATGGACCTAATGCCATCTGTAGGTGTGAGGTGGCTGGACTTTGCGTGATACCGGCTGGACCTGTTGGCAGGCCAATATGACAACGATAATAACAACAACAGCAACAATAGCTGACAACTTTTGAGCACTTTCCATGTGCCAGATATTGTGCTCAGAATCTTATGTGCAATAACATTTAATCATGACAGTGGTTACTCTCTCTTACGGATGAGGAACAGAGGCTCAGATAGGTTAAATAACTTGCACAGGATCTCACAGGTAGCAGAAGGTACGGCCAAGATTGAGCCCAGAATTGTCTGACTCCAAGTGCACGCTCTTATCCACTATAGTAAACCATAACAGGAGAGCCTGAGAAAAGTGGCAGTAAGCCGACCTGAACTCCTCATAGGAAGCCACCCTCTGTTCCACTGCCCGTAACTTGGCAGCATTTTCCCGTTTGTACTTCTCATCAGCAGTGAGTGCAGCCTGCAGCTCCTTCTCCAAAGCCTTGAAGTCAATGATGTCATTCCTTTTCATGGCCTGTGCCTGGGAAGGCAAAGGGAATGAATGTCAGCAGAGGGTGAATATCAGGGGTGGGGGGTTGCATCTGGATTCTTTGCCAGCCCACAGAATGACCCCAAAGCACTCTGGTTGTCTAGTCACTTATCTTGAGGGGGGTGTTATAAAAATCTAGTTCTCTATCTTACAGAGGGAAGCTGAGTTGCACAGTGAGGTCTTGCTTAAGATTTGTTGCCACTGAAAATAGTCTTGACTTTCAATTTAGTGCCTTGTCTTAATTTTGCTCTCTGCCTCTGAAAATATTTTTTTAATTAAAGTATAATTGATATACAATGTTATATTAGTTTCAGGTGTACAACATAGTGGTTCGACAGTTATATACATTACAAGATGATCACCACAATAAGTCTTGTTACCATCTGTCATCATTTAAGGTTATTACAATACTATTGACTATATTCCCTATTCTGTATATTACATTCTCATAACATATATTTTATACCTGGAAGTTTGTGCTTCTTAACCTAGTTCATCCACCCCACCACCCCCTTCCCCTCCGGCAACCACCAGTTTGTTCTGTTTTGTTTGTTCATTTGTGTTTTAGATTCCACATATAAGTGAAATAATACAGTATTTGTCTTTCTCTGTCTGACTTATAATATCCTGTAATGCTGTATAATACCTTAGCATAACACCCTCTAGGTCCATCCATGTTGTTTTAAACGGCAATTTTTCATTCTTTTTTATTCTGCCTCTAAAAATATTTTAGCATTGGTGCTTTGGCTGAGGAAGCATTTGGATTTCAGAATTCAGTCCCTTCACATTTCCACATGGACTCACTCTATAGCGAGTGATAGAGGCCCTCACACAAAAGCAGAACTATTGTAACCTACTCTTGAGCCCTGGGATAAAATTCCACTCATTGTTAAATGTCTTTAACGAGGAATGATACTTTCCACCCAAACCAGATGCAGTGACTGAGCAGGAAATCAAGTAGAGGTGGCAGAAGAAGGGGCTCAATGATCCCCGTTTCCAAATCCCTCTGTCCAGCCAGGGCTGGAGCACAGATTCCTAGGTTCTTGGGCAACCTCTTTAGCTCTGCCACTGTACTTCTGCAGCCTCCGCATATCTGAGGCTGACTGACCCGTTCTACACGGAGATCACCTATAGGGGTTCTAGTCTCTTGGCTCTAGCATTTCCTTACTGTGAGACCCCTTTGACCATCAGACTCCTAGTGCACTAAGCTAGATTACGTGGTGAAGTCATCATCAACAGCCCTAGGGCAGGGAAGCTTGAGGTCTACAACCAACCCCGTGCCCTCCCCCTCCACCCCAACATGGGTAAGCTTGAAGACCAAGAAGGAGGCTGGGTTGGCCAGGAACTGAACTCAGGTGTCCTGGCTCCTGTCTAGTTCTGAACCCTTGCCAGTCACTGAATAAATAGAACACCTAATCCTCCTGCCCCCGACCTTCACCCCAGCAGCCAGGGCCCTGGTTTCCTTTCTTTGGGGATCCCCAGTTACCGCCAGACCACGTCTGCTCAGCGTAGACCACGCCCAGCAGCTGTGGTTGCCCAGCAACTGCTCTAACAGCCTGCCCACGTGACCACCCCGAAGGCCCCCGTCAGGGTAGCCCCGAGGCGCCTGATCAGATTCTCGCCTCTTCGGGCCTTGTTTTCTTTGGAGCAGCCCACGCCTTGGTTTGGGGACCCACAACTCCGCCTCGCAGGTTCCTGTGTCCGCGGCCGGCATTCTTCCGAGCTGGTCCACAGGCAAAGGGCTGTCCTCCGAGGCAGAAACGCGACCGCGGCGCCTGCGGGGTCCTTCCGAACAGCGGGCGCAGGCGGTGCGGCGGCGTTGGACGGAAGCGCGATCTCCGGCGGCCTACTCGGAGTATTTGGCTGAGCAGCGGGAGGTGAGTTGACGCGGGTCCACGGCATGGGAGGGTTGCTCCTGTGGGATGGGAAATTAAATAATGGCAGATGTGGAGGAGACGTTATATGCTATCTTCTCCTTTCACTTTACAGATGAGGCGGGAAAGGGAATGAAGGCCCTACCACACCGCCCCCCCCCCACACACACAGATTCCGGGGTTCCCTCCTGTCCATCTTTAAAACCCTTTCCCGGGGCAGGGGTCGTTCTTGCACTGTCCATGCACCTGCCTCACTCCCTCTTCCAGCTGTGCCGCCTTCACCCTTTCTCTACCAAGCTCTCTCCGTCCTTACTCTGTTTTTCTTGGAGAGCCTGCGTTGTAGCGGGAAGCTGCGGTGAAGTTTGGTACCGAAATTAACTAATTTGTGCAACTGTGGGCAAGTCAGCTATCTTCTGTGTGCCTTGTTGGAGTCACTCATTTAGTCATTGAGCAAATACTGATTGAGGTTCTATTTTGTGCCAGGCACCGTTCTAAGTGAAAAAAAACAGTCCTTGCTTCAACTGTAGTTGGAGAGATGACAGTAAATACACGAATAGATACGTGTCAGTTAATGATAAATGTTAATAAAAATAATAAAACAATGAAAGTGGGGGTTGGAGAATGTGTGTATAGGTGGAGCTTTTTTTTTTTTTTTTTTTTTGCGGTACGCGGGCCTCTCACTGCTGCGGCCTCTCCCGCTGCGGAGCACAGGCCCCGGACACGCAGGCCCAGCGGCCATGGCTCACGGGCCCAGCCACTCCGCGGCATGTGGGATCCTCCCGGACCGGGGCACGAACCCGCGTCCCCCGCATCGGCAAGCGGACTCTCAACCACTGCACCACCAGGGAAGCCCAAGGTGGAGCTTTTTTTAGAGTGACAAGGGAAGGCTTCTCAGAGACGGTAACATTTTATATAGTAGAGACCTGGGTGAGATGAAGGAACAAGGTATACATGCCCAAGGGGAGAGCATTTTGGAAGAGAATAGTAAGTGCAGTGGCCCTGAAGCAGAAATGAGGTGGGTTGTTCCATGGACAGCCTTCTGTAAAAATTTCTGCAGTCATTTCATGGGTGTCTTGGGAGAATGAAATGTGCACAGATGTGGTAGCTCTTTGGAAGTAAAAAGAATCTCTATGCATATGAAAGTTTCCATAATAATTTACATTTAATTATTAGTGCTTGGAGCTCTTAATTCTCTATTTTATCCACAGTTAGCACTCAACAGGGGCATTGAGGGAGGTGGCGGGATTAGCCTCATGAAAGAAGTATCAGTATTTCAAAATTAAACATTCTGTTCAGTTAACATTTATCCAGTTTCTACTTAGGTGAAGCGCTGTCTTGGTCATTGGCAGGTGGGCACAAGGAACGCAGGGTTCCTATATTCAAGAATGGCCAAAAAATAATCCTAGCTAACATTTATTGAGCCTAGAACTGTCGTAAATTGTTTACACAGCCTATTTTGCTTAATTCTCATAACGCTTTATGCAATGGGGATTAATCACTTTATTTTCCAATTAAAGAAACAAGCTTGGAGAGGTGAAATAACCTGAAATGCCACAGTTATTAAGTGACAAAGTTGGGATTCAAATCAAGGTCTTCCAATTCCAGAGCCCTGACCATTAACCCACACTCTGGTCTGTTGCCTATTACTGTAAGCTGTAGAGGTGTTGGTGAGGGTAATTAGTACAGTTAACTACCATTCATGACAGAATTAAATGCTGATAAAGACACGAAAGGCTACAGCAGTATAGGAGAGTGAGAAATTGAGGCTATAGGAAGGCTTGAAGGAGGTGGTGTTTGACCTGTTACTTTGAGTAGAATTTCTAGAATTGAAGTGGAGACAACCCACAAAATACTTATTAATTACAAAGAGAAAGCATGTAACTTTACAATGGAAAGGCCCGGTAGGCACCACCATAATCAGTGGTGAAGTTAACATCACCACTGATGGGACAAACTAAAATCATATGCCACTTGTTAGAAGATGCACTGAAAAGAGCACGGCATCACTTCTGTGATACTCTTGCCAAAAAATGCATAACCTGAATCTAATCATGAGGAAACATTGGCAAACTTAAATTAAGGGACATTCTACAAACTCACTAGCCTATAATCTGCAAAAGTGTCAAGTCATAGAAGTCAAAGGAAAGACCAAGGAACTGTTCCAGATTGAAAGAGACTAAAGACATGACAGCTAAATGCAAACATGGAATCCTGGATTGGCTCCTTTGCTGTGCAGGAGATTATTGGAACAGCCTGTGAAACTTGAATGGGGGCCTGTGGGTTAGGTGGTGGTAATATGTCAGTGTTTTCTGATTTTGATGGTTGTATTGTGGTTATGTAGGAGAATGTCCTCGTTTGTAGGAATCACATGCACTAAAAGCAGGGGTTGGCAAACTTTGTCAAGGGCTGGATAGCAAATATTTTAGACTTTGTGGGCCATGTGGGCTCAGTGGCAGCTACTCTGCTCCGCTGTTACAGCGTGAAAGCAGCCACAGACAATATGAAAGAATGAGCATGGCTGCGTTCCAATAATGCTGTCTTTAGAGACGCTGAAATTTGAATTTCATATAATTAATTTTCATGTGTCATGAAATATTATTCTTTTGATTTTTTTCAACTATTTAAAAATAATAAAAAACATCGTACTTTCAGGGCTGTTTGAAAACAGTTGGCAGGCCAGATTTGGCCACAGGCTATAGTTTACCAACTGCTGCACTAAAGTATGAGGAGGCGATGAGACATTGTGTCAGCAACTTATCTGCAAATAATTTAGGAGAAAGAAAGTTATGTGTACTATTTTTGCAACTTTCTGGTATTTAATTATTTTAAAATTAAAATTTGTTTAGTGTTAGAAAAAAGAAGTGGGTGAAGTATATGTAAACAGAAACAGGAGTGGAACAGACAGGAGGGGAAGATACAGGGCTTTGGAGGAGCAGTCAGTGGGTTGATGTAACTGGAGAGGAGACTGTGTGAGGGATATGGTCAGCCACAGGCTAGGGCGGAGGCCCTGATTACCTTGCCAGCGTCTAACTCTTCTCCTTGAATTTCAGCATCATGGATACTGACTTGTATGATGAGTTTGGGAATTACATTGGACCAGAGCTTGAC